AAGGCAAATGCAGGGTCCTGGACCTGGGGAGGAATAACCCCAGGCACGAGTACAGGCTGGAGGCTGACCTGGAAAGCAGCTCTGTGGAGAAGGACCTGGGGTTCCTGGTGGACAACAAGCTGTCCATGAGCCAGCAGTGTGCCCTGGTGGCCAAGAAGGCCAATGGTGTCCTGGGGTGCATTGGGAGCAGCATTGCCAGCAGGGTGAGGGAGGGATCCTGTCCTTCTACTCAGCCCTGGTGAGGCACATCTGGAGTGCTTTGTCCAGTTCTGGGCTCCTCAGGACAAGAGGGACAGGGAGCTCCTGGAGAGAGACCAGAAAAGATCTATACAGTTGCTTCAGGGTCTGGATAATGTTGCAAGAAAAGGCTGAGGGAGATGGGCCTGCTCAGCCTGGAGGAGAGATGACTGAAAAGGAATGTCACCACTGTATCTGAAGGGAGAGTGGCAAGAGGATGGAGACAGGCTCTGCTCAGTAGTGCTGAGCAATAAGACAAAGGCAATGGGCAGAAATGATGCACAGCAAGTTCCACCTGAATATGAGGAAGAACTTCACTGTACAGGTGACCAGGCACTGGAACAGATTACCTGGAGAGGTTGTGGAGTTTCCCTCACTGTAGATAGTCAAGTCTATTCACTTGGATGCAATCCTGTGCCGTGTACTCTAGGATGACCCTTCTTGAGCAGGGAGGCTGAACTACATCACCTACTGCAGTCCCTTTCAACTAGATTCATTCTCTGATAACCAGTGATAATTTTAGGAGTATTTAGACTTTTTCTTAAATACGTGGTATTGGGGGAAAAAACCCATGACAAAACAAGTTAAGAATTTAGCAGGAAGGACCGCTATGAAAGCCATCAAAGTAATATAAAAAAGACTGAGATATACAAGTTTACAAGGTTTTAAAGATGTTCCATACATACCTGTTTTTATACCACCTTGTCCGTTGTGCTTTCTTACTCACTCTTTTATTTCCTTCATACAGTTTATATACATTTATAACAGTTCTTACTTACATACCACTGTTACTACTGTGAAGATGCGTGGGAGATCCTTGCTGCCATCACACCATTCCTGCTGCCTCTTTGTCAAACCCTTTCCCTCGATATTAAGTGTGCCTGTTGTTTCTTTACATGATAACTCTCTAAAACACATGATGCCTCTTCCTCTGTGTTGGTAGAGCTTTTTGCTTAAGTGGGTTTTAGGCCCTATTATCACAAACAATAATTAACAGTGTAAGGCAAGCCATATGTTCAAAGAAGTTTGAAAGCAGCTAACATCAAGTTTCAAACTATTACCAAAATTTTGCACACTCTTCATCAAATGCATCTTTAATGTCAACTGTCAAATACAGTCTTCAACTGATTTTTAACAGCTCAGTTTGCTATGCCAACAAAGTGCCATACTCACATGTACCATTTCTTTTTGTGGCTCTAAAAAAGAAGTAAATTTTTAACATGGGCTCATGCTATTCCTGAACAGCACAATGGCGTAATGTAATTGAAAAAGAATTTATACACCAGCTCTAATCTGCTTTGACTTCACCGGATGGAGCAAATACTAGCTACAAGATCACAGTAATTACAAGATAATGGGCATAGTAATTAGTATTATCAACTATGCTAGTTAACGGCAATATTAGTCACTCCAGAATTCAATCTTCATGTCTCTTATTTCTTTGTCATTGGCATCTTGTAATCAATTAAAAGGTGGCTTGTAAAAGGAGTTTATTAATTGTGAGCAGTCTAGACACCACTTGTTAGACTGAGTTTTGTTCTCTTCTCAATGTTTCAAGTACTCCTTACATACAGCAACTGCTCCAAATAATTGCCACTGCTGTCAGGTTTGGCACCAAAATACTAGTGATTAATTCTTTTTTAAAGTATTCAGCAATTTCTTTCAGTATTTTTTAGTTTTAGGACTTGTCTGAAGTACGATTTTTAAAGGTGTTAAATATGAATAGTCTTGAAATATTGCCTGAATAAGCTGTTATAACATACCCCTTTATGTAATCTTTAGTTTCACAGTAATATGAGTAATTACAGTAATAATTTTACACTAAGCTGTTCTTTTTAGTAACAAAATTCATTAATGAATCACAAGCAGGTAACTACTTGGCTTATGTTTAATGTCAAATAAAACAAGCCTCCAATATCCATGAATATCAGGCTATCCATTGTTCACTTGACAAGAGCAATCCACAGTGATTTATTGTAAATGGGAAGGATGATGATAATGTGCCATGCTGTATGGATATGGACAGATGGTATTTGTCATAGAACAGCTCTTTCAAGAAATAAGTAGATTTCGGGTAAATATAGAGCAAGAAACAGGTTGGTTTATCCTCATGATGATATTCTGGTTTATTTTCTTTAGGCTATAATGGTGCATTCTCTCAGTCCCTGGAAAAGCTGTCATGTTTGCAAGTAAAAGTGAGAATAGTCAACAATTACGGCAATCCACAGATCTTTAACAAAGTGCAGTTAAATTAAAGAGCTCTGTACATCACTATTACATCAGTAGGAAACTTGAACCATATTGTGCACTGAAAACAACAAAAAAAACCCCTCAAAAGTTGCTGCAGTGCAGCATTTGCTCTAGCCTATGGTTTTCCTGATCAGAAAAAAATTAGATTCCGTTTCTAGTATTTGCAAAGTAATGTGTAGTTTCATTGTTTATATCTACACATCTATATACATGTATCTGCATATCTTCTCAAAATGAACTGTTACAATAGTGGTTTTATCTGGATTCAGAACATACACTGAAACCTAACCAAAGTGGCATATCGATGCTAGACGCGGCCTTCCCTTGGTTACTGCACATAGACCTAGTTAGAAAGTCTTTCTGGAGTACGGGTAGTGCAGATGCAATCCTGAAACAGAAGACCCTCTACTGCACCTGGCTGTGTCACAGATATTTTCTATTATGTTCCTACCAGTGTTAGTATGTTCCAATTACTTTGGAAAGATTGAGATTTCTGGCAGGTTTGGATGCTTTAAAAACCATTTCCATCAGACCTGCTCTAAATAAATTTGCAACTCACAAGGACAAGTAGGCATCCAAATGTCATATAGGCTCCTGAGTCCAGTATTTGTGCCCCTGCATTTTCTGCTAACAGGTATTTGATACCAAAAACCAGGAAAAAGAAAAGAACTCCTTAACACCAGTGTAGCATTAAGAATCAGGCATTCTTTATTCAGCCAGATGCACGAAGGCGTGCATCTCCAGAAATCATGCACGTGGAGTACAGAAAAAGTTCCTGTTTGTATGCTATTCTTTACATACATATTCTTTGGTTTTCTTGGAATAAACATACATTGATAATGATTTCCCTGAAACCACTGACATATGTTCTTTCCCCTCTGTGCATGCATTCTTCTGTCCTGGGGGGTCTCTTCTGGGCTCCCTGGTGGTCAGTGACCCCAAAGTCATACCTGACTACCTGGGGAACTGGTAAAATTTGGCACAGCAGAGCTGGCTGCTTTCCAGCTGTTGTTCCTATAGAATAAGCATTATGTGGTTCCACAGGCCAGTGGTTTTTGAAGAGTAAGCATTGTATTAGCCCACCTGGTGCAAACCATTTTTCATCTAACAACACTTTTACAAAACTATGCCAAATCCTTCTCAGAATCATTTTCAAACTACATTCACAAATTCCCTGCCTAGCATAATTTGTTCAGTGGGGACAGGAAGTCCCTGTAATCCAAGGATAACAGCAATTGCTTGATGGGAGAGAAATTTGTTTGCTATTTCTGCTGGTTAGCAAGGATCTGAATCCAAATTTCCCACCATCCTTGAAAATGCCCTAGAAAATGCAACTGGAAGTTCTGGGAGAGACTCCCAATTTTTGCTGTCAGTGGTTTTTCCATGTTGCATAAGTAATTAAATGTTCATGGGGCTGTTTCAGTTCTCAAAATCACTGGAAATGTTTAACGTGTCTTCATTTTACTAGCAGGAGTAACAGAACAATTTCCCACTGTGGTGCATCCTTGGAACATGCACCCACCCAGCCCTGTCACACGGAGTCAGCTAACCAGTGATTAACTGCTTCAAGAGCTTAATCATTCATTGCCAACCTAAATGACTGAATTAAGTGTCTAATCACACATATGATGTAAAAACAAATGCTTTTATTTATGCTCTAAGCAGAGGCTACTGGGATTTTGGCTGCCTGCAGATCAGTCACATGGCCCCACCTCAGTGTGCAAACAAAAAGTGTGCGTCTCCATGTGGATATTTCAATGCGCCCACCAGGGCTGGTACAAATGGCTGGGCAATCCCGACACTGAACGTCACCACCAGCGGCTGCACCAGTACAATTCCTGCCCTCCCCCTCCCCCCCCACATCCAGGGAGAGGGAAATTCACAGAATCACGAAATAGGGTTGCAAGGGACCTCTGGAAATGATCCAGTCCAACCCCCCCACCCAGGTAGGGTCACTTACAGCAGGTCACATAGGAACACATCCATGTGGGTTTTGAGTATTTCCAGAGAGCGAAACCCTCCATCTCCTGCACAACCTGTTCCAGCGTTCACCTTCAATTTAAAAGCAATTCTTCCTTATGCTGAAGTCAATTTTTTTATGTTTACGGCCACTGTTGCTTATAACCTCTTCCTGTTGCTCCTTGTCTCTTTTACTGCGGAGCCCAGAACTGGACACAGCACTCCAGACGCGGCCTCACGAGGGCCGAGCAGACGGGCAATACCACCTCCCTCAACCTTCTACACTCCTCTCGACGCCCCGCAGGATACCCTCGGCCCTCCCGGCCACACGGGCACTGCCGGCTGATGGGCAACTTGTCATATCCACTAAATCAGCCTCTAGCTGGGGAGGCGAGGCCAGCTCTGCTGACAGCAGACGCGTTACGCTCGGCGGCCCGCACCAGGCGGGCGAAGGGCGCGCTGGCGGGGCGGGCCCGGGCCCGGGCGGATGAGCTCATCCGCGGGCGCCGCGGCCGCGCCGTAGGGGCGGGGAGGTGAAGCCGGCGCGGCGCCGGGCGCGGGTGGGTGGCGGCAACGACGGCAGCAGCAGCAGCTCGGGCGCCTGGCGGTGCCGGGCGGGGGACGCCGTGTCCCTGTGTGTCTCCGCACACGCCCCGGGAGCCGGCGCGCAGGCGGGACAGTGGCGCCGCTGTAAGTGTTCCTTCCTTGTCCGTCGCCCCCCCGGCCCCGTGCTTCCCGCCGGGTCCCGCCGCGCTCGGCAGCCCGGGCCGGCGTCCCTGTCCCGCGGCGCTTCCCGCCGCTCCGCCACGCCTCGTGCGAGGGAGGCGCTGCTGGAAGTGACAAAGTTTACCGTCCCTGCCTTTCCTTACAAACTAAATGGCCGCGCCCAGAGAGCAGTGGAGGGGGCGGAATGCGAAGCAGTAGGGAGTGTGCGGCCGGCCATCGCTGCTGTCCTTTTTCACGCAGCTTGGGTATTCTTGTGGGCTGCTGAAAGAACTTTAAACGTGGATGTGTCCGACCCTCTCAAATCTGTTCCACTTGTTGTCCTCTTTACAGTGGAAACATGTAGGTACCCTGTCTTAATGAGTGGCGGCCTGTAATTCATCTGAGGATCTCAGCTTACTTGTATGCTAGGTCCTTTACTCAGGATAATGGTTAAATTGCAGAGATCTAGTTAAATGGCTGAGATGGCTTGCCAATGTCAACATTGGAAAGACTTTTTCTGATTCCAGCCTTAAAGATTTAGTTCTTTGACTTTGTAGGTATTATTCATTAACTGCAGCTGCATTAATTTGAAAACAGTCATTCTGTTTCAGCACAGATTTTATTTGGGTGATTCCTGTGTATGTATGAATATCGTCAGACATGCATGCCCCATGTCCTGAATGTCAGTCACACACAACCTTTCCTATTGTATTTTGAGTGGAAATGAAATCCAAGGTAGTTCCTCTTTAATGCTGTTCTGCATCTCTATAGAATCACTCGCTTTGGAGGGACCACTGAAGATTATCTCGTCCCTGCTCAAGCAGGGTTATGTATAGCAAATTACCCAGGTCCATGTCCACCTTGAAATAATTCTGTAAAATAAAAATGGAAAATTCTGTCCTTACACAAGTGTTGGTCATGGGGTTTGTTTTGTTTTTGTGGGGTTGTTGTTATTTTGTTATTCAATTTTGGTCGGGGTTTTTTTTGTTTTGTTTTTGGTTTTCTGGGTTGTTTTTTTTTTTGGGGGGGGGTTTGGGGTTTTTTTGCTTGTTTGTTTTTTTGTTTTGGTTTTTATTGTTGTTGTTTGGTTGGTTTTTTTGGGTTTTTTTGGGGGTGGGTTTTCTTAATAAAGTAATGGTAAATTTGGAGGCTGAAAATTGTAAAACACATACTTGGTCTCTCTTTAAATATTTGGTCATTACTGTAATATAAATAATTGTCAATGAAGTAAAGATGGGTTAAGGGTAATATCAGGATACTCTTCCTATCTCCTTTACAGTTGTAAGTTATGCTTCTTTTTCAGTCTTGCATGTTTTTCTTTGGAAATTAGTGTTTTGGGAGCAGAAGAAGACTTCTTTTTTTTTTTTTTTATTTAATTTCTCTTCTTATTTAAGCTGGAAGATGGAGTTTTCTTTCTTGGTTTGTCATTTCAGCTCATAGAAATAAATTTCCCTTGTTGCTAACTTGCTGTTGTAGCTGGTAAAGAAGGTCTTCCATTATACTCATTATTCCTATAGTTTTCAGGCTTAAAAGGAGATTTTTGGAATGGTACCAATTGTTTTATCAAGGGATATCAGTGATTTAATTAATTTTCACATCAAAGCCTCATTACAAAATGTTTTTCTTGTGACGCAGAGTGAGGTCTGTAAGCTCTCTTCTATGGATTGTTTTATAATAGTTTAACATGAGTAAATGTTTCTGTTAGTTTGTTTAAGCCTTACTTTCATCTATAGAACCCATTCTTGCCTCTAAAAAGGCTTAAGATCTCTTAGGTATTTGTCTTACGTGTTTGTGGGGAAAAAGAGTTTGTAATTACCAAAAATAATGTATACATATTCCTTTGTATTTAAAGAGTAAAATTATTGTTGATGCTAGTGGTCAAAACTGAGTTCTTAGTAAGATCTTAGTGTTTTATATTGTGTGGAAAATGTATAAACCTGGATTTGGAAGAAGCTGCCTTGAAAGCAGTTTAAAGGGCATTAGTTATAAACCTCTTCTGGTTATTTAAGAGAATGTTTATCCAAAAGGCACTTCTTTCTGATTTTTAAGTTTCTTTAAGTGGAGAGCATTATAGCCTTAATTGTAGCACCTGTTTGTTGAAAGCAATTGAATTAGCTTTTTTGTACAGATGAAGAAAATCATGCTTGGCTGAAGGTAAAGAGAGTCCAAACATGGCTTTATTTTCCTTGTATAAAAAGGTGGTGTTTAAATGTGTCTGAATATTGGCCAGCGCCATGTAAGGAAAGTCTGTGTCACTGAAATTCTTCTATACCTTTTGAAGAATACTGTGAGTGCATGACACAATCAAGTTCTCTGTGCTTCAGAGATCCTTGTTTGTGGATCAGGATATTAGCTTACATTACCAGCTCAGGTGCATGTGCCAGGCTATGTGCTCGAGTGGCTGTACATGGAAATAGCTATCTCTGCTGTCTGTTGATCAAAGCAGATGATTCCGGCAGGATCTTCAAACAGGCTTAGCATAAATTGGTAGCGTTCTTCTGACCATCCTTAATTTGCTAGAAAATTGCATTTGCCTAAATTTCTATGGAGTTACTTAAATGGACTTGTATTTCGGGGAATGAGTTTGTGTGAGGTGTGAAAAACAGAAAAGCTGAGATAGAAATAGGCACCATCTTAGAGATTGATGCCTGTTACTTGTGTCAGCATTTGTGTGTTACCCTGTGTGACTCTGATTTTGCACAATAAATAGTAGTGGTGTGGTTTGTAAGGCATTAACCGGTTTATGTGTTCAAATATTTGCAACAGCTCCATACTGGGAGTTTTCCAGGGCTTGATAGATACCAGCTACAGAGATGTAACTGCTTGGATTCATTGGAGACTTGATCTTCTACTGTACGGCCCTCTTTTAATTCATTTTTGCTTTCTCAGATTTTGGAAATGCATGAAAAATGACAGCTGCAGATGTGCTCTGAAACAAGACGTATTTTGTGTATGCTTCATGTTTGACATATGCCGTGATGACAAGATGCAGGACTATCTTAGGCAGCTGTCTTTGTGCTTGCCTTTCACAGTTGTGTAAGCCATGACAGTGTCACATGTAAGACAGTCCCTCGCTGGCTGGTGTAGCAGGAGTGCAGTGAAATTAGTCGTGTGCTTAGAAAGGGAGTAGATAATTCAGTACATTCTTGACAGTGTGTTTCTAGCTCCTGACACTATATTATTAAGTCATCTCTAATGACCATGCATCTTCTGCTTTTCAGGGTGGGTTTGTTTGGGTTTTTTTTTTTTAGGTTTGTAAGCCTTTCACTTGCTTCCACCTAGTAGTGCCTCTGATGGACATTTCAGCAAGTTCAGAGGCTTTTGTAATTTTCTTATCTGGATTATTACTGTTAGAGTGGAGTTAGACTGGAGTAGTTAGCTATTAGCATTTAAAATAAGAGCTTCTTGGATTAATGAAATACAAATATCAGATATCACAATTGATCACTTTTTTTTTTTAATGTGCTGTTTACAAGTTTAACTAGACTCCTTTGTGTAATAGTTCTCCTCCTCCCCTTCCCTTTCAATTGGTACACCAATTGAAATGTGTATTCAGCTGTCCCTGGGTTGATTTTTTTTCCTCAGCTTTCACTGAACAGAATTATATTTTGAAGTTCTTCCCTATCTCTTTATTTCGTTTTTGCTTTTAACTTTAAAACCTGAGACTAGGTGTTAGAGTGTATTGCCTATCAAAAATAAACTTCTCCCCCACCCCTAGACATTTTAGGAAGCTTAATCTTGTCTACTTTGCAACTGTGTTTTATGTTGCCTGGAAACTTTTTTCCTCATGTTTGCTTTCAGAGACCTGTGTTTCTAATTCAGGCTGATGCTTTTTATATTGAGTGGAAAACAATGTTATACAAATATAATTCCCCAAAGGATTATATCTCTTGTGTTGCCCATTCTTCGTGTCTTTTATGCAATTCTATTATTGTCCTGCTGATCAAGTTTGACTCTACTAATGTTGGCCATCATCTGCTGTTATTGTTTATCCTTTTGGGAGCATCTGTCTTCTAAAATATTAAAACATCAAACGAAATAATCAGCTTTCCCTGTAATTTTATTACTTTTGTTACTTACAAAATGTATTTACAAACTACATTTAATAGGAAAGATCCATTGAATTTAAGGTCTATCTTTAAAATATACTAGTAATTTTTTTACATCTCTTTGTGTGAAAGAAATATGACATGAAACACTGTTTATGACATGATCACCAGGACTTTGTAGCAGCATTACAATTTCTAATTTGCTTTTTTCCATGCTTAGAGTTCAGCTAGTGAACCTCCTTTTCTAATGTTGAAATGCATTAATTGCATAGAAATGAAAACCAGATACTCATATTATGGGCATAATATAGCAAAAAATATTACAGAAGACAATGTCGAATAAGAGATGAATTTTAAAAAAAAGTCAAAAAATGTCTCTTTGATGCCAGTACCTTGATATATGTGTAAGATAGTGAACAGCTTATTGTACCAAATTCAAAGAATATTTCTCAGAACAGCATATTTATGAAGCAGTAGTGAAAGATGTACTGTTTGCATACACAAAGCTCAAATATGTACAGAGAGCTTTCAAGGTGTACAGCAAGGTTTTTGCTTCAGAAGGTGAGGTAACATGTTTCCTGTAATGTACCAACACCATTATTAGAATTTGTTCTCTTAACCTATGAAGGAAAAATGAAAAGAAATACAGAATGAATGACAAATGCTAGACTGAATTATTTATACTATTGTACACAGTTTGGGAGTTAAGTTTTTTACACTCCATCTCAGTCTATTTAATTTGTCACAAAAAATGTAGGAAATAATTCTTCCTTTGTAGGAAAGAATCCTTCATTTGTTTACCTAGGCTTGACTTGCAGATTTGTATTGCATTGCAGCTCCTGTTGATTTTGCCTAGGATTTTGATAGGCTGTATTTTAGTACCAGTAGTACTACCAGTATTTTACTACCAGCAGTAGTAATCATGTTGGAGGGATAATAATACTATGATTTATTGACAATTTTTGGGAAGACTTGTTTGAAGAAAAGACACCATGAAGTTGTATTTATTCAAATGCAGTTGGAATCAAATGGTAAATAAAATCATTATTTACAGCCTGTTCAGTTAAACCCCCCAAATTATCATGTATTTATGAAAAGACATCACAGTCTATACAAAGAAGAGAAGGGGGTTTACATATTTGATGAGGTTGCACAGCTACCTTTTTCCCTCTCACCAGTCCCTAGTACCTGTCATTACAACTTTTGTCTTTTATGAGTGCACACACACTTTCTCTGTGTATTATCTCAGTGGTTTAGTCATGTTAGACCAATGAGGGACAGTTTATGTGTAGATGCTAAATTTCAAACAAAGGATCAGTATGTTGTTTTACAACATCATTGAACTAGCATTACTGATTGAAAGCAAATGTACAGATACCTAGACTTCAAACAAATGTAACAAAATATGTACATGTAAATGATTATGTCCTGTTCAGTTACGTGTTCTGAGAACGGTCGTTCTAAAAAATTTGTGAAAAAGTTCATTACCTTTTAACTCTGATATTGCATTTTGTTGTAATTTTTGTCCTCTTTTGCTGAAGTGCATCCTTCCTTTACCTTTTTTTTTTTTTTTTGCTTGCATTTTTTTTCACTTGGCTTTATTTCAGGTTTGCTTTAATGCGATTCCTGTGTTGTTTCATTGCTACAAAGGTTGTGTGCGTGGTCGTTCAGTATCCTTATCTTTTACTTTTTCCTTGGTAATAAAAGGCTGTCTATTTTAGTGTCCACTGTCTATTTCAGCATTCAAATAAACAGTTAATTCCTGTATTTTCTTCTTGAATAAAATTGGTAATTTTCCAAGGTGGTTGAGGTCAATATTTGATAAGCCAACTAGAGATTGAAGGAGAAGTAGATACCCATTTTGTCTGGGACACAAACGTTTGTCCATGTCATAAATGAAATAATAAATGAATAAATGAATGTCATAAAATTAGCAGTGGTGTTCATGACAATGACAGAGAACGCTGTTTCCTGGGAGTATATTTTGGTATTCTTGTACTTAACATTGTATATTTCTGTTCTTGTTCTTTGTTTTCTCATTCCCTTTTCATTTAGTGTTTCTGTTCAGTAACACAACAAAGCATCTCTACAGAATACAAAAACCAATCTATTTTTTAGAAAATTAGCTCGGTGTAATGCCTTGGAATGCATGGAGGATAGTTGTATTTACAAGACAGCATAGATTTTTTTGCTTGTCTTTTCTTCATGCCCCTCTAGGGAGAGACTGCCTACATTTGCTGTACACACCCAGTCAGGACCTGGAATATAGCAGGTGATCTTCCCTAATTGCCTTATCCCAAGGCTGGCCTCTCCTCCCTACAATTGTGTGCATAGGATAGTACTCACGTTTTATAAAATTTGTCAGTATTATATTATAAATATTTGCAAATTAAAAATGTGTTTGTGCAAAACAGAGTTTGAGTATTAGTTAAGTGTTGGGTTTTTCCCTACCAAGTCACTCTATTTCTTTGATCTATCACCAACAATTACTTGACCTGCTAGCAGTCAAGAGGTTTTGGTAGTCAGAAAAAAATGCAGGTAATGTCAGGTTCAGTCCACAGCATTACACACAGACATCATAGATGCATTGCTTATGTTGCCTGAATTTACTGAGCTATTTCAGTGAAAGAACCTTCTGATGTGAGCTTGTTGCCTCGGTATGCTTGCAGAAGTACTGAAAGATTGTTAAAAATTCAAAGTAAAGTTTTTCTGAGCTTGCCATCAAAGACAGCCCTGAAAGAGCTGTGTCTGACAGCTAGAAAGCCACTGAGGTAGGGAGATAGGTGCTATGTTTTTGTGCTTTGTGTGAAACTAGTTGAGGGAGCTATATGGACAGTTTCTTGCCCTGAGCCTTTCATGTAATGGTAGTAGCTTGATAGCGTGCCCTGGATTCCTGCAAAAAAAGATATAGCAAGTGTTTGGGGAGTCTGAGTTCTCCTCTGTGATGACTTTGAGAACTATATTAAAATTGGCTTTGGATAGTGAAGTCTATGATGAAGTGTAGAACAGTGAAATGGATTGTGCATGTCACAATGGAATATCTGTTCTCTTAAGGCAGTTAGAAACAGGCCTGGCTGCCTATCATAGTGAATGTCACTGAAATGCTAGGGAGAGAACTGTCTGTATTTCATCCTCTGATATATATTCCTCATCTAGAAAGCTAATAGAAACAACTTAAGTGGGCTAAAACTGCATGACTTTGGCTCAATGGTCATAGCAAAACAGAGAATCCATGTCTGTTCAACTTTGTTACGAATTTCTGCCTATTGCTGCAGCAAATGTTGGTGCATTTTAGTATTTTTTTGCCTTTATAGGGATTTACATATTTTCCAGTGAAAAGACTTTGTTTTCTGTAAGGCACTATTCTGAGTGGTATGAGTTTCCAGCTACAAAAATGTAATTATGTACCTCAGGTATTTAAGATTTTAAAACACTTCATGAGCAATCTCAAAGGAATACTTGGAATGCAGTCCTTGTAAATTGGCTCATTTTCTTGTAAGTGCTGATATGAGAGTGGTTGTAATATGGAAAGTATATTAAACTGTGGACAAGCATTGTATATAGGAATTTATTACTCTAAACATTTAAGACCTATGAGGTGATTTAGACTTGTTATTTAAAATCACAGCAGAAATATATCACTATCTTTTTGATACTTTTGGTTGTTTCTATTGATTTACAGAAGCTGTCTAGAAATACTTTCAGTTGAGTTTTTCTCTGAAAGAACAATTCAAATGAAAGTATTTGAGTTTTTATGTGAAAAATACAGCCACTGGTCCTTGACAGAAAATCCTGAAGCAAGCAGATGCCATTCTAGCCTGATGCCATTGTGTGGAGATACAATCACCCTTTAGCAGTACTACTGTAATAAAGGAGGCTGGACTTTAAATAGATTTAGAATCGGTGCATTTCAGAAATGGTTGTGAGATGATTTTTTTTTTTTCTTTTTAGAGTTCAAGAAGTGGATAAACTACAATTTCAATATTTTAATCTTACTCAAAATTATTTTTTAGCACTTGGAGACTAAATATTCTCCTTCTGGAGTCATCATATGTCAGAACTGTCCAAGGCTTTGTAAAACTGTTGCCCAATAGGTGAACATGGAGACACAGCTAGAACCCATGAAGGATGATTTGCCTTTAATGGCAAACACTAGCTACATGCTTGTAAAGCACTATGTATTGGACTTGGATGTGGATTTTAAAAGTAAAGTTATTGAAGGCAGCATTGTTTTGTTCTTTGAGTCTGGGAGCCAGTACAGGAAAACCAGCAGTGCTGGCAAAGAATGCTGCCCGTCACAGTTTGATGAAACCTGTAAAATCGGGGCATCTGAGCCCTGCCACGTTCCTATGATAAATGTTGAAACGGAATGTAATGATTTTGCTGACAGTGGTAAAGAGGAAGCTACTTCTGATGAAAATAGTAACCATAGCAACAATGAACAGGCTTCTGGGATTTCTAGTTCAAAGGACTGCTGTGACATAGAGGATCATGAAAACAAGGATTTTCTGCTGGTATTGGATTGCTGTGATTTATCTGTGCTAAAGGTTGAAGAGGTAGATGTTGCTGTTGTGTCAGGCATTGAAAAATTTACAAGGTCTGCCAAGCCAACTGGTGTTTCAAAGGAGCTGGAAAATCTCAGGAATCGGATTGTACATGAACTTGTGACTTTACCTGCAGATCGCTGGAAGGAACAGCTATACTATTTTACTCACTGTAGCCAGGCACCTGGCTGTGGGGAGCTTCTGTTTAGTACTGGCACCTGGAGCTTGGAGATAAGGAAATCAGGAATTCAGACTCCAGCGGACTTTCCTCATGCAATAAGAATATGGTACAAAACCAAGCCAGAGGGAAGATCTGTTACATGGACTACAGACCAGAGTGGCAGGTATGTAACTGTTTGCTGAAAGCTTTGTATGCAATAAATTTAAATAGGTGCAAAAATGGAGAATCATAAAATTGCTGAGCAGCTGTGAAGATGATGACTACACTGTTCCACAGTTTTAATTTCATCCTTGGTTTGACTCCTTTTGTTGTCCTGTAGAAGAATAGACAATCTCTCTGCTTGTGAAACCCTAATGGGCTTGAAGATCACAGGCCTGTCTTAGTGATTGTGTTTGCTCTTTTTGAGTGGGAGTAAATAACTTGTGTGCATTTCAAAAAGTGTGTGCAGGGAATGGGGAATTGTCATTTAGGGAAAGAAAAGGTATGAATGACAGGTTACTTTGCGCTCTTTTTGCTTCCTGGCTTACGCAGCATAAAGTTCAATATACATAACATTTAATAGAATTACCTCACAATTAGTCCTTTATCAATATTATAATCGGCTTAGAAATACAGTCTTTTCCTGTTTAGTCCCTCATAATCAGCTTTCAAAGTCTTCTTCATCTATAATGTTAAGAACATTGATGATAGCAAATGAACTGCAAACTGAAAGAAGAACTGGCATTATATTTAGTGTTAGTGAAAAGGACATGGTATTGTACTGGAATCTTCAATATAAGTCTTTTATAGAAGGGAAACTACAATATACTCTTGACTTTTACAACGGTAATTGTTTTATTGGAATGTTGAAAGGTGGATTTTAATGGCTATTATTTCTTTCTGATGTCTAAAAAGCAGGAACAAAGTTGGAAGATAAGGAACAAATGTGACCTGATTAAATACTTGCTTTTCTTTCCTAGTCAAGAGATAAAATGGTTGCCTTTTATTTCAGTTATATTCGTATAAATTAAGTATTTTCACTAGCATCTCTGTTGGTGAGGAAAATGAGGCCTTTTGATTGTATTTGTGGTGCTTAGGGAATTCTGCTACTAATCTGTAAGCACCATCAAGTCAGCGAAATGTCTCAGTCGTGTTCATTATTTCTTTCCCTTTCCTCACTCCTTGAGGAGTTATTTTTGGTATGAGTTTAGGAAATTTAACTTGATATAGTACCCTTATATCTGAAAATTCTGAATTTTGACTGCATAAGAAGGTAGAGCATTTGCCCATGATCACATGTCTATGTCCACCTGCTTGAATAACTAGTGTTAGGCTGGTATAGGATTCCTCTCTGTGGTTTGAACATTTGAATGTTTCTTTTAAGCATCTAAATCATATACAGTTTTGACTCTTTATAAGCCTTTCACTGCAAAACATTGTTTTTACTTTAGTGACATTTCATGGCAGCTGTACACTAATGGATGGAATTTTATGGATCAGTAATGGAGCAGAAAAAGCAGGCTTGACATGGATCCAGCAGTTTGATGGTATAAAATAGTACAAACTGATTTATTATCAGGCCTGTGTAGGCTATTCCAAAACCTAATGCCTGTCAGAAAATAAGTTTTCATAGTATAATCATTAGAATCTTTCTTGGTATCTTTTTAAAATCAAATTCTATATGTGATGAGCTCATAAACATAGTGGTAAATCTCATATTGCCATAGGAGGATTCTTCAGATTGTTCCAAATTATGTATCCAGTGGGTTTTTTTTTTTTTCAGATGTCAAATTGTTTGCCAAAGGAGTCTATACTGTGGTTCCAACTCTGAGAAAAGTAAAGAACAAAGTACACACATTGTGTAACCACTTCCAATGTTTCCTGTAATTTAACACTAGTACAATGTTTTGAAATTTAGCCTATGCACAATTTTATCAAGAGCTCCATTTTATTTGTTTTAAAGAATGATGTATTATAATACACAAAAAGACCCAACTGAAACAAAGCTTTGTGAGATGAGTTTAGGCAAGATCAGATATGTAACTACAAACATGTTATCACAGCAGGACACACTTCTGTTTTTAGTAGAGGAACTGAACACATGGAATTTCAGCATTTCCCTGTCCAAGTTTTTTAGGCCAAACAAAAAAGGCAGTGACAGAGCTGACTTGTGCTAATGGAAAGAGGGAAGGAGGGAAAGTATAAAGGTATGACCAGGACACCTACCAAAATACTCTTGATGAAAGGGACACTTTTGACCTCTCTAAACTGGTTCCTTCCATCACTGGTGTGATGGCACAGGTGTATGTACAGCTGGGTCATAAGGCATATTAGGGAAGTAATCTAATTGAAAGTAAGTAGAGGGGGGAAGAGAATAGAAGGGAATAAGATGTGTTTGGAAAATACTGATGAGGTTGGTTTGGAAGGTGGAGTTATTTACTACAAATTATAAAATGTGTCATGAAAATAGATGCTTGGTTTTTCAGTGGTATGAGTTAGCATTGTTCTGTGCTCTTGGGAACTGGAAATGCAGGAAGGGAATAAAGAATTTGGTTTTCTTCATAGGCAAGGTTTGGTAGAGTAAGATAGTCCAGAACTATCGTAGGTCACGGACCAAATCCTAAGAGGATCTCCTCAGCTGTGGGGAATCTCTACTGTTATTTTGTTTATTTTGTTCCCAGTAATGGGAACATGGGAATATAAATATTTGACAAATTAATGAAGTATTTTGAAGTTTGTTGGATTATTCATGTGATATGCAATGACTTCTAAAGACTGACAAATTATATTAATAAAATGGAAAAGTAAAACAAAGAAAAATAAATCACAAAAAAAAACCCAAAAAGCACAAACAAAAACCCCCATGCAAACAAACAAACAACAAAACAAAAACAAAAAAAACCCAAACCAAAACAAAACAAACAAACAAAAAAAAAAAAAAAAAAACCCCAACAAAAAAAAAAAAAAAAAAACCCCAACAAAAAAAAAAAAAAAAAAACCCCAACAAAAAAAAAAAAAAAAAAACCCAAACCAAATAAAAAAAGTAGGCAAACCCTGAGTACAAAGTAAATGGATTTGATATACCTGGAATGTGGAAGGCAGCAAGCCAATATTTGTATAAAATACAAATTCTATCCTCTAAATTAGTTGTCATAACTTAAAGGAAGGTGGTGAGAAACATGGGTATTACTGACTGGTGTCTTTTTCAACAGTAGAATGTAAACAAGAATACCTGGTCTAGTGGAATCTGATGACAGTCACTGGAAACTTGCAGATATGTAAATTGATAGGGCAGAGTAAAAAGTTCTTGTGATTTACATGCCAGAAAGTCCTGCTGCTTCAACAATGTAATCTAGAGAAAGGAACAGAATTTCCTTTTGCAGGAATAGGGAATGTAGTTTTTCAAATACCAGAAAGGGATAGAGTTTCTGAGCTGGGCATTTTCCTTGGCAAAGCCTCAGACATTAGGCAAAGCAGGTTGACATGGGTGAGCCTTAGAATATGTTTCAGGTGTTTTATGGCAGGCATCTCAAGACCTGCAGATTCCTGTTTAGAGAACAGATTATCAAGTGAACATTTATTATTAGCTTGAAGATCGTGTTAATTCATTATTGTAGTAGATAGGCTTACATGGGAGAGGGAGCTGGTTTGAACTGATTTTGCTGAGTTGTAAAGATATGTGGACTACTGATGAGTTACAATTGCATTAATCAAATCTTCATCAGAGAGATTACTGAACAACAGACAGTCTCTGGTCTCTTCTTGGGGCAAAACCAGACATTACCACAACTAGTACTTGATTTTTCCAGTAGTCTGGATGGCTGTTTGCTTGGGAATATTTATCCATTTTACTCATGGTCTTCTTTTTAGTTAGGACAACTGATTCAGAGGACATAATTTAAATTTTTTACAAATATTTGTTTCTTGCCTTCTATGTTTCCAGGAATATGAAATCCATTCATTTTGTACTCAGGGTTTGCCTACTTTTTTTGTTTATTTTTATTTTTTGTTTACTTGTCATAAAGTTGTCCAGAGGAGTGACCAGAAATGTCACTCCTGTGTTTTGTGATTGTTTTATGAATGCATGTTCTTCCAGTGTTACAAATAACTCAATAAATATTCTGAGTTCTCTGCTTACCTTTTGCTGCATGAAATTTCCTTAATTCTTGAAAACTATCATGGCAAAGGTTATGGTTAGCAAAAATATTACATAAGTAGATTATTTGAGTATTACAAGATCATGAAAAGTTAACTGGGGTGGAAGGGATAGAAAGAGGAAATGTAGTAGAAAGAGGAAAGGAACTGTGAAGTTTCTTGCTAGGAGAGGTAGAGATAAATTATTAAAAAAGGGCAAATATGTGTATCAATTGACAAACAGAGACTAAACCGAATTATTTTTCTTTGCTGCTCTGTCATGTGCTTAGATTGGCTGGTTTTTTTCCCCATGGTCAAATGAAGAAACTGATTGATACCAGAATAAGAATTATATTTCTGGTCCTCTTGTGTGCTGAAATTGTGCTGCCTGACCCCAAACAAAGACAGTTGTCAGCTGCAGTGGATATCCTAAAGTAACACTGCACAATTACCAATGCATTAAGAAGAAATTACCACTGTAAAAGAAGTACAACAAATATCTAATTAAAGGCTTACATAATTGTTCTTCTGATAGTTTCCTTAAAAAATTTAGAACATGTCTATTTCATTACTATTTTTTTTAGCAGACTGACATAATTTGGTATGTTTAGGAAAATAATGAAGTTAATAAATATCCCTGGTAAAAATTGTATTAAAATGGGTGAGGAGTGGAAAGAAGAACACTTCTACTTCTGAAGAACAGATTATGTACGTGACCAGTCTTTCTCCACTTATCTAACTCACTTCTACTTGGGCTTTTATGGTAGAGACTTGTGACCTTCCTCTGTGTGTATATTTTGGCAATAAAATGTCTTAGGGAAAAAAAAAAAGCTACTGGACTAGGAGGCTTAGAACTGGAGCTACTGGACTAGGAGGCCTGTAGGAGCAGCTTGAGTGCTAGCGCTTAGCATATCTGTTCACTGAGTTTCATTTTCCCCATCTGCAAAATGGTGTTGACATTATCTGTAAAATCCCTTATGGTCTGTAGACAAAGGCACTCTCTGAGAGCAGGGGACATAAATGTTCTTGGTAGCATCTATTCTTTGTAATGTTTATATTGTATTTGAGACAGCATTATAACATTTAGTTTAGCACTGTTCTGCCAGCCAGTTTTCTCTGTCATTGTGTCATTTCCCTGTACAGAATATGAAGATCACCTATACTGCTTGTAAGAGTGGATTGCACCAATGGCACCTGGCAAAACAGCCTTTACAGTCCATGGCAAATCATTAGGAAAATGTGTGTAGCAGCAGTCATTAATCCCACCTTTCCTTTTTCCTTTCCATGCCTTCCCAGCACTTACATGTTTTAGGGTAAATAATGATCCCAGTAGCTCTTGACTAGCATTACTAGGGGGAAGCAGGTCTTACTGGAAGGTGAAAAAACAGGTTCTTCTTTTTTCCTGTGAACTCACTGCCATGCACTCTGTTTTCACAGGAGAAAAGCCAATTATTCTATGTATATTAGATAGATTACAGATTCAGTTTTAGAAGTTTAATTCTAACTAAGTAAATTAAAAGTCCATGCATATTAATGGTCTGTTACATTTAGCTGTACATTATATTTTACTATTTAAGAAATAAGCACTTGGCATTCTCTCCACTGCAGTTACCTGGACTTTACTCAATGTCTAGGTCCTATGCTATTTACTCTGGTACATGATGGGGGAAGTTAGACTGTTTACTTTTCCTGCCTGTGTGCATTAACAGTAAGACCTACTTAAACTGCAGCTTTCGTCTCTGTTTTGCTGGAAGATCAACTGGCCTGCAGTAGTTAAGCCACCATGATTTAAAAGTGCCAAGACAGCTCTGGATGTGCCAATAACACAGATAGCAATGACAAGAGGGCAAAAATATCTTCAGAATAGATTTAATCTGTGACTTTCAGTATTTCCAAGTTCTTTCTCTCTGTATAGTTTGAAGTTGGCTTTAGACAAGGAATAATTTGAAAGGAAAAGCAGTTTGGAGGGGAGTAAATAAAATGCTAAGATCTTAGCCATTGCAAAATTGTTTTGCCCTAACAATTTGTCTCCTACTTTCTGAAGTGTTTTGATAATTTTTCAATTCAAGTGATGAAAGATACTGATCACAATATTTTTAGCCTCAAGCGTTCACAAAATAGTGTATTTTGCTCCCATAATGTTTAGCTTTAAATATTGTAGGTTTTAAAAGTTCAGTGTAATGAAGTGATAATTTCAGGACTTTCTTTACGTTACTGGAGAAACCTATTGATTGTCATTTTTAATATAATTTATAATTGAAAAATTAGCTCTTTTTTTTCCTTAAGATAAGTGGTGGTGTTATGCACATAATAGGAATTTAGATAATACTGCAAAATGGAACAAAATAAGTAAAGCAAGAATCATTAAGTTCATCCACCAGCAATAGCAAGTTAGAAGGAGCTAATGAAAGGCCTTGTTACCTTCCCAGCTATAGCTAAATGGTTAATAAGAAATTTACTGTCATGAAATATTGCAGCTGAAGTTGGAAATGGGTAGTAGACTGAGAGATTTGGCTGGGGAGAGGTTTAGAGTAACTGCAAAAAGAGCAGTGCTACAAGGAAGATTGCTATGTAGGAAGAAAGAAGGAGGCTGAAGCTAACAGGATAGAAATTAATTATTATATGCCCTGTGGCTGCAATTCCCAAAGACACGTGAGCTAGGGTGCACTACCTTTAAGACTAAATGTAAAAATGCCAGGATTTATTGAGGCTTGGTCTAAGGAAGACTCAAAACTAGATCTACTTCTGATTTTGCATGAGCCTCCAGGCTGCTAATCCAGGAGACTGGATTCATGATAGTGAAAACACTACTGGAATGATAGCAGGGAGGTGTCACAGATGTTGGTGAAGCCCTGCAATGGCATCATCAGAAGATACTCAGAAGCCTTCTTTGACCTTATGGGTACAACTGGAAGCTATTTTATGGGGCTGGAAGACTCATGCAAAAACAGGAGAGGGAAATGACTGGAGTTAGTCTTTTCCAGTTTGAAGGTATTGTAGTAATCTTGCTTTTCTTACCTTAAATGACTTAGATTGTACTTTCATTAGTTCATGTCATACAGGTTTGGAGCTTGCAGAGCTGAAGTTAAAGAAAGAAACCACCTCAGTACAACAGCATCTTTGAATTTTTTATGTAGAACTTAATTCAATCTTCCTTATTGTAATTCCAACATCAATCTCTTTTCCTTCCATCTAGGCCATGTGTTTACACAATGGGATCACCAATAAACAACAGAGCCCTCTTTCCATGCCAAGAACCACCAATTGCCTTGTCAACATGGCAAGCCTCAGTTCGAACAGCTGCAGGATTTGTTGTGTTAATGAGTGGTGAAAACTCAGCAGAACCAGTCCAGCTTCAAGCAGGTGAAATACGTTTTTCAAGGCAAATTATTTTCCATACTTTTATAATTAGAAATCGAGCTTGGTAAATAAGTGATCTGTGAAAGAATGAAGTTCCTAACTTTAATAACAATTCCATGTCTGTCTCTAATCTCCATGTCAATCTCTATGGAAAAGTTACTTGCTCAAGGCCTCAGGATACTTCATAAGTATTTGAAGTATCTACATTTCTGCATTTCACAGTGTTGCTTTTTTTCTCCCTGTGTATATCCAAACCTAGATTTAATTTTTCATAAATTTGCTTTATTTTGATCATAGTGTACACAAGTTTTGTAGATTCAAACCTTATCAGGCTCTCAACAACTGCAGGCCTTGGTAGGTAACTGTCTTTCAGTTTTAGTTCTCCAGTCTGAGTGTAGTTCAGCATGTGATTTGAAGCAGCCATAGTGCCATATGTGTTGCCTAGAATACATGGAATATCAGGTCAGTGCCCCGATAATCTGATCTCCATGGTGGTTTTTTGCATCTTTTTCAACAATAAGCAAACAAGGATTTCTTCTGTGTTGGTTATACTTGATTGTCTAAACTTCTTTCTGCACAGAGAAGGAAGTTTTTAAGGCTTGTGTAAGTTCTACATATAATGAAGTGAATCTTATTCTCATGAGTTTTGATATAATCTGTCAAACTGGGCCAGTATTTTCTAGTGTGAGTAGTTCTGATGAGACATAGCATGTAAGATCAAGTTAGAATTAAGCTTTTCTGGGGAAAAATATCTTCCATTCCCCTTTAAATAGGCAGGTTTATTCTTGAGTGGAAAAAAAGAAGAGAAAGTCTCTTGATTTGAGAATCATCAGTTAATCCATTTTCATGGAATTGTCTGGTTATATTTGGCCATATATGGGGCCTCTTTCAAGGCTTGTCTCTGCTCTGAAATATGGAAAACTGCCATGATGAGCTGCTCAGTTCCCTTGGAGAATAATATTTTCCTGTCTCAGCATCAAGAAAGCAAAGGTACTGACTTCAGACTAGGATAACAGCTTTTCCCTCAGTGTTTATCTAGTTTAATGAGAGACCCTCATTTTCTTGCTTACATACAGCTGGAAATGAAAAACCAGGAAGCTGTTTGGAATTGTAAAAATTTACAAAACCAATACAGATGCAAAAAGGTAAAGGAGTAATATTCTGAGGAATGTTTTAAAATCCAAGTAAACCCAAGATTTAAGTGCTAATCAGAAGCCTTGGATAAATTCTCAATGAATTTAGGAATACAAATTCATGAGTTTAATTAATAGAACCCCTAAGAGTTAAAAAGCTTGAAATGTTCTGTTGTATTAAATAACTTGTCCACAGATCCTGTTGTTTGGCAGTTCTGGAAGGTATATGAAATGTATCCAGTTTAAAATTTGGTCTTTAAACAACAGAAAGCCTTCCAGGGTAGTTTCAATTTAAATAAGTTTGCCATGTTGTTTACATACAGTATGTATACTATTGCTGTGCCGAATATTTATACTATCAAACATAACTGGCAGAATAATAAAATCTATTTTTAAAAAATGCAATTTGTTGGAAAGAATTAGTATTTTGGTAAGCAGTTGTGAATAAATTTATTTTGAATAGAATTACAAGTTAGCTGAATTTTTTTTTCCTTTAAGAGTCATATTTAAATCCAGTGTACAGGCAGACAGTAAGAGAACATCAAGCAAAGCTGATTCCTTCAAGCTTTTAGAGATCTGCATTCTGCTTCACAGACATACATCTCTACATGTACAGATGCAGTAATCCAGTGCATAGGTGGGCTAGGTGTACTCTTATATGCAGATTCCTCATTTACCACTTGTATTTGCAGGTTTTGGCAAGAGTCTGTTTCCTCCCAATGTGCCATTTTTGCATTATGCCTCCTACAAAACTGTGGTTGATCGTCATTTGAAATAGAGGGAGCCCACATTTATTTAAAAATAGTGCTAGAATACTTACACAAATAGAAACGGTAACTATTTGAGTATGACCAAAAGTGCTTCAAATACCTTGCATTCTTTGTGGACTACTTAGAGAAGTTGATCAGAAAATGCAATTAATAATGCCCTTTGGGAGAAAGCTTGATGGGGAGGGAGCATTACATGTGTGTGTAATGTGAGCCATTTAAACATTAGATTTTTTTCTCTACATTTGTCAGTTTTACTTTCCTTCAGCATGTTACTATAACACATATAAGCTGCAAATACATTTAGTCACAAACATCTTTCTATTTGTTCTATTCATATTCAAGAAGTAGATATTCAGCCATTAAGTGTGAAACAGACTGGCTCGCTTTTTGTGTGGTTACCCTACTACTGTGTAACCCCTGATCTTGTTTTGACACCTGCACTGTAAGTGAGGAGTACACTGGTACTGAGAAAAAGTAGAGTTCTAGAAGAGTCACTGCTCCTGTGATGTAGTTAGCAGCAACAGTTGCCTTTGCTTGTGCTCCTCGCTTTCCACAAGGCAAAACAAAAGAGTGCAGTACTTGTGTTGGCTGATCTCCAGTATGTATCAGGGTCTACAGCATGGTAGTTGAGAGCTTGTCACACGCTACTCATCCCTGTGACTCAGTGCTGAACTAATGCTCTGGCATGAATGTGAGGGAGCTCTGAGGGGAGTTCTGGTCTTCAGATGAGGTCAAAAAATCCCTACAAGTCACAAAGAGTTTCTGAAAGCTGGAGCATTCTTAATCCTGGTGGCTCCAGCCAGAGAGTAGTTTTTACATAACTACTTATTTAGCTGCATGTTTCTATATTAGCACTAGCTCTTATCTTGAATGCCTGTTGCTGTGTGGGGCTATTGCTCCTTTTCCATAGAGGTAGTTCAACTTTGTGGGTTTTAGTAAATAGTAAACATCAGCTGTGTTTTGTGGTGTTTGTGTTAGTGCACACTATTTGACAAAAAATATACTGCTAAGTAAAAATGTTCATAATGTACTTGCATCTGGCATTAACAGATAGAGCTTTGGCATTTTTTTTCAGTTATAATGAACTCTACAAGACTCAAACAATTTTAGTGATTTCAAAGATAGCTGAATGCATTAAAAATTCTAGGAAGTAATTACATCATTCATCATTATTATTTCAAGTAGGAGAAATAAACGATCTTTAAATTGTTCTTTTGCACAATTATAAATAGATTAAAATTTCCTGTTCTTGTTAAACATTTGCATGGAAAGTTTTTCACTTTTAACTCATAGAATAGCTGATTGTTGGTGCATGATTAGTGCAGTTATGACACAATAAATTTGCTTTCCAGAACTGAAAAAAGATTTTTTTTTCAGAATTACAGGTAGGGAAAATAACAAAACGTTTTGAATATATTATAATTTCCTAAAAGAATTATGCGTAGGAATCAAGTTGTTTTAAAATTACCTTACAAGTACAAGGACTGGGGTGATCTATTTCTATTTTCCCATGGTCTAATCCCAGCCCAACCACTTGTTTTTCCTAATGTGTACTCACTCAGTCTGAAGATAGTTTTATGGTACAAAATACAAAATGCTGTGTTTGGTAAAGTAAGCCACGTTTCAGCTGCGCTGTTTTCTGTTATCCTAGAGATGGAGCTGTCTCCAAGGCTGACACTGAAAAGCACAATGCAGCCAGAGGATGGGGACAGCAGCAAAAAGGAGTTGAATTAAGCTTGTGATCCCAATCTATGTGCTGGGATAGATCAGAGGATACAGATGAAGGAAAACAAAACAAATCCCACTGACGTGAAGACAGTGTAAGGAAGGAAGTGAAGTTATGGGAGAGGTCAGGCTGGGAGACAATCTTACCAGTAGTGAGAGAAGACATAAGGTCAGTGAGTTAGTTAAGCTGTCTTTGAGACAGTGCTTCATGGTTCTCTCCAGAGAGAACTTCTGCCAGCAAAAAGACCTTTTCAGTCACTGATCACCAAATGCACTGTTTTCCAACTTGAAGGATTCTATGGTTCTGTAGGGAGAACTCACTTGTCATGGCCATGCATGTGATTTCAGTCATCAACAGTAGGATAAATATATAGGTATTCTACATAATTCCTGAATATGAATGCAGAAGGCATCAAAAAGCACTGCAGGAACTGGACTGAGCCCTGCGTAGATATGCAGAGACATTATAAAACTTGGATCTTTCTCTGGGAGGATGCATAGTTCACATAATTTCTAAAATCCTTGCAAAGTAAAAGGGGCTTTGGTACCTTCACTCTTTTTATATTGGGTCAACTGTAAATGTTCTGTTCCTTGCTAATTTGTATAGATTTCTGAATGCAGTACATGCTGTTCTTCTCTCTGGACTGCTAATCTGATTGCCATGCCATGTAGACATTCTGTTCAAGCTCTTTGTGGAGTGTTTTTTAGAAAAAACCCCTCTTGCTTGTTCTAGCCTGTCTTACTAAACTTGTTTCTCACTGTAACCGTCTCTGATCTCTACCTAGTACAGGCCAACACCCTTTCCTTTTAGACAATCTCACAGTTGTGAGAGCCTTCTCCTTTGTACCTTGTGCCATTTGGAACAGTTTTCTGTGACTGCTTTTTGACTTCCATGCTTTTTTCAGAACACAGTTGAAAACATGACAGTTTTTCAATTACAATTTTCTCTGATGTTATTTAATTCTTAAGTTTTTACAATTAACATAACTACATGGAGCATTTAGTAATGCTTTATAGCATTTAGATGCAGCACTAAGTGCAGAACCTCTGAACTTTGTCCTGTTTGTGTGTAAGTTAATGGCAAAGTTGTTACTAACTACAGTCTGTGTAGGCTTGGGCTGTTAGTACAGTGTCTATCAATGAAACTCTGTACATCAGGAATTTGGCATTCTGAAATAATATATTGTTGCTGCTGTGGATGACCTTTTTCTCTCAAGGTGACATTTGCTTGTCTTGGCTTATTTGTAGTTTTGTTAAGTTAATAATAATAAAAAACCAAAAGGCAGAGTGAAATTTGGCAAAGTTATCCTCCTAATTCCTAATGTGTTTGGAGCAAATAAATCCATTCTGCTTACATACTGACAGAAGCTTAGGAAGATTACAGGAGTAATATATGTTCACCTGACAATACTGACAAAAGGTTTTTGATGGATGTTGCCTAAAGTGGCATGGGGTGAAGGAGTATATAAGTGCATATAAGAGGCAAAGACTTTATCTGCCTCTCAGAAGACTTCACAAATGGTATTGTTTTGTCATACTAAATAGGAGGTGGAAAACTTGTTGAGGCTAAACTAAAGATTTTTTTCTTTGTCCTTTCTTTAGACAGCCTGAGCTTCTTAGGTCATTAAGGTATGAAATAAAATGATGCTTTGCAGCAGTTGTCTATTTCCTTTCCTCTGTGCCTTGTGGTCTCCACTTAGTTGTGGGCTTTTTCTCTTTTGGTAGTGTTCCATAGTCCTAGTCAGAATACTTCTGCAAAAGAACAAGTACTAAGGTTCTCTCAAAATAACTGAAGTTTGTATGTTTTCATGTTGCCCTAGCTACAGTCATTTGCACATGATTCATCAGATTGTAACTCATGCTAGGCTCTTTTCAAGATAATTAATCTATTAGTGTGGTGTAGTAACTGTATTATGACCATAAATTAATACATGGATGTGATTCTTAAACTATATCCTTTTTAAAGGGATAAACAGAAAATCTAAGCAACATTTGTATTAATGAAAAGTATGCTGTTCTTAAACATCCACCTTATAAAAATGGGTTTGTTCATACAGCAATCCTATGCCATACTCCTTATCTCCTCACATTGTGTTCCCATAATGATAAAACCTAGCATGTTTTTACCTTCTAATAGATTCTGGTCTTGTTTTAGCACTTTCATGGGGTAACATGATCAAGTTGCTGACTTAGGTAATATCTCATCTGAGTCTGTGCTTTGATTTCTTACTGCCTGGTTGACATATTATGTACCTCAAATAGCTGAGTCTAATTCACAAACATTAGTGTTATTTGATGTTAGAACTTTCCTATCAGTTTGGTACTGCCCAGAACACAAAAGAAAGGTTTTGGGTTGTGTAAAATAATAGTAGAAGCAGGACAAAATTATAAGATAGTAGACACAAGGTTAAAAAAGTTACATTTGAATATTTTGTGTATGTATTTAAAGGTGTTACTAGATATCATGTCTGATGTAATTCTTGGGTAGTAACAGTACAATCATGTTAAGTTGCATTAAAAACATCCCACTTATGAATGATTTATTTACAGGTAAAGACATCAGCAGTTAGAGCAAAGTTGCAGGTGTAAGTAAAAAGAATGCAGAATCCATGGTGGTTACATACAACTGTTCTTATGTATCTCGATGCAATTACTTTTATTTCCTGCACAAAAATACCAGGATGTAAGGTGGAAGGTTTAGCCCAAAATCTCAAGTACATGAAAATGTCAAGTACCTAATGTGTGCTGTAAGACTCATGAGTCTGTACAAATTTGTTGTTTACAGGTATCTTGAGCTGGTACTACTATGTGTCTATGCCAATGCCAGCATCCACCTTCACTATTGCTGTGGGGTGCTGGCAGGAAGTTAAACAACAGTCTTTCAAACAAAAAGCTTCTATTGGAACAAACACTGAACAAACCTTGCCATCATCACAAACTGATTTAAGGTTGGTGTTTATAATATTATTGAAAAATGAGATATATGGGTAGCATTTCCATTTACTCTGTGGAATGTGAAAGTGACTCATATTAGCACAGGAATCAAAATATAACTTGTTTAATCTGAACAGAAAAATCTTGACAAGAAAAAAATTCCAAAGGCATTATTTCATGGGAGTGGTTCTTTTTATGTGAAAGCAAGCTGCTTAGTGAGCAACAGGGTTTGTAAATTCCACTGTCCGCTAGATTTGTATCCTGTATCCTTAGCACCCTGCTGCAGCAATGCCAGGTGCTTTCTTGTTTCTTAAAATACTTAACTCAGTCCATTCTGGATACCTAATAACACCTACTATGATATTGCCTACTTACTTTTTTGTTCTGCTCTAGTCTCATTGCCCAGTTAGAGCTGGCCTGTGCAATAGTTTGCCTGGGGTGATGTGTAATGACCAGTACATGAAAGATCTAGTGCAGTGGTCCCATAAAATAGAGTTGGACCAATGATTCTTAGCTGGTTTTGACCAAACTAGTAGAAATGTAATTATTTTGGATCTATTCCTCCTCTCAGTCTAGTCAAAACTCATTGAGTTTGAGTTAGATGAGATTACAGAGTGGTAGATGAGAAGAAAAATATATGCCTGAAAATAAGATTTGAATATAGAAAACATAAAGTTTCTGGAAGAATACCATTTGATTTCACGTGTGTTCACCTTAGTTAGCAGAAGTTCTCAGACATGGGACTTGATTTCCTCATATATTACTCTCAGCTTTTCAAATTTATATCATACCATCACAGAACAACCCAGGTTGTAATGGTCCCAGAAAGTTCATCTGGTCCATTCTTTCAGGCGAAGGAGCTTAGATAAAGTTATCTAACACCCACTGGCCCTTGTCTTGGCCATGTGGCTCCTTGTGAGGAGAGCAACTCTGTGTTCTTTGTAGATGCCCTTCAAGTACTGAAACACTGTGATGAGGTTCTCTTCCCTCTTCCCTGAAAAGGCCTAGCTCCTTTTGTCTTTCCTCACAGGGCATGTTCTGCAGCCCTTTGTTCATTTTTGTGTCTTCCTTGAGCTGTGAGGACCAGAAGGAGTCGCGGTGCTTCCTGCAGGCGCTGTCCGCCAAGCTGTGCCCGGAGCGCACTGATCCGCCCCGTGCCTCTCTGCTGGCGGTGCCCCTGCAGCTGCAGCCCAGGCTCTGATTTGCCTTCGTGCTGCAGTGCCACACCAGTGAGTCACGGCCAAGAGATTGTCCCCTGAGCTTCCGTGTGCTCCCCAGACACGCAGGTCACAGCCTGTGCTGGGCCCTTTGGTGGTGTCACCCCAGGCGCAGGACTGTGCCCTTGTCTCTGCTGCACTTGCACTGCTCCTGCCTGCCCCACCCTTCCAGTCTGTCCAGGTCTCTGAGATGCCTCTCCCTTCTGATGTGTCCACCTCAACAGCTAAACTGGTGAGAGTGCTTTCAAATCCATCATCCAGAATGTTTGTGAAGATGTTAAACAGTGTGGGGCCCAACACAATTTCTTGGGGAACTCTGCTTGTGACAGGCTGCCAGCCTTAGTGAAAACCACTCTCTGAGTGTGGCCTGTGCATCAGTTTTTGTACCCATCTTGCAGACCACCTATCCAGTTTGTATGTTGCCTTTGTCCAGGAGAAGGCTGTGGGAAACATTGGCTGTGGCCAGTGGTTTGCAGAAGTCTGGGCAAACAGGTCCACTGCTCTTCCCACATCAACAGGAATTGTTATTTTATTGTAGAAGCTGATTTCGATTATAAGTTTTTATATATTTAACTTTATTATTTATCAATTTATTTAACTTTATTATTTAAGTATTTAACATTTTTCTGTTACTCCATTTGAAATTTCACTGAAAAAATACTTGTCTTTTAGACAGCTGTTTTGAATAATACTTTGTTGGCATTAAGACAGTGGAACTACTGAGACTTTGGAACTTGAGGACTTAATATGGATGTTTTTGTTGGAATTTAAAATTAAATTATTCTAATGGCTTGCAGCTTGGCTGATTTTGGTTAAAAATCCTAATTAATCTTGAGAATAGAAATTTTCATACTTTATGTAGTAAGAACTATCTGCTCTAATTTTGAAATAATTTGCAGGTTTGATGAGCTTCTAGAAATTGCTTTGTGTTTATTTCTCTGCTACTTATATGCTTATAATATGACTGCCTTTACAAAAATAAGCTGTAGATGTATTCCTCTCCAAAGTACAGCACATTTCGTAATAGGAATTTATTTATTGATTGATTATTAATTATTAATTTATTTATAGATTTTGGTGCAAAAGATTATTCTGGCTCAGTGTTGATAGAATGTTGAGCGTGTGTCTCAGATAAGATAGTGGAGATAAACTCTAGGGCAGCAGGAAAAGAAAGGAATTCTGAAAGAAGCTGTTGAAATGTGTAATGCAAATGTTTGTGTCCAGCTCCCAATGAGTTTTACCTGTAATGTAATTTGTATCCAGGTGCCAATGAGTTTGACCTAAGGAAGTTGTATCAAAGTAAATGTTAAATGGAGCTATGATGTTTTATAACTTTTTATCTCCTTGTGGTCATTAAGGAATTGGCAATCTTTATAAGAGATACGGTGCTAGCTTTCATGTTCCTGCCTAATCTCAACTCTGATAAAAAAAATGCAAAGTGACATTGTTTTAGAGCAGAAATATACTAGATTAAACCACCCTTAAAAAATTGTGTAGTGATGGATGTGGTTTCTTTACATATGTAGTCAATGAAAGGACCTAGAGTCCTCTTCTTTGGCAGAAAGACTTATGTAAGGTGCTAAAGTGTTACTACTTCAGCAAATTCTCATCCTTTTCTACAAGTCATCATTTTGTTTTCTGTGTCAGCATGATCTTCCAAGCATAAGTGCTTTGGGCAACGCTAGGTGCTTTGCCTGTCGAGGCATAGTAGAACCAGATTACTTAAACTGAAGTTTCTAACCAAGGAGAGGCTGTAGAGAGCACTGTAGAGAGCACAGGCTAACAGGTGAAAACATGAAGCTGATTTCTGTTTAGATAAGAATCTATTTGGGCAGATTCAGTGTTTAGGAAGGATTTTATTTACCCCTCCTTTCTTCCATCTAGAGCTCTAAATATCCTGTAAAAGTACTATAAGGTAAGGTTGGCTTTATGTAGTAGTATTGAATATCTAACATGATAAGTCTAAATTGACATCTACTGGGGTTTTGAACTTAATATAAATGATAATGATAATGATGATAATAATAATTTACTTGAAGCTTCTGGAGAATTTTAATAACAACAACAGAAAAAAATCCCTCCTGGACTTACATTGCAATTGAACCTAAAATACTTGTATTAATATTATGTTAATATGCATAGAATTTTATTTTCATAGCCAAGTTTGAATAGGAATATTCTGAGTAAATATTTTTGTATGCTTATTAGTTCTCTTTACATATATTTTGAGCACTTTTTCTTTTGATGCGTATGTGTTATAAAAAAAAGGTGTGACTAGTCTCTCTCTTACAGTTATGAGTTCTACTCAGATGTAGTACTGAGTGTTTCAAAGTGTGAAGTGTTTCACATGTGTGAGTGTTTCACATGTGTGAAGAGGGTGAGAAAATGCACATGGGCTGGTTCTGTGGAAATTAATTCTGTCATTCTGATATCTAGAGAATATCGTTGTCTTAGCAGAGTCAGTTGTGCACATTTCTGATATCACAATTAAGTATTTTTTTGTTTTGTTTTGTATTGTCAGGTGGCATGAAGAAATCTGTGGTCATGTGGAGTACCCTTGCCGTTTCCAAAATCCTGCTGCCAGGTTGCAAGCAGTCATTCCTTACAGAGTCTTTGCTCCCTGGTGCCTTATGGAAAGCTGTGAAGAATATTTGCTTCAGCTAATTCCTCAGTGCCTCTCAGCTGCTTATGCCACACTGGGTACCCACCCCTTTTCCAGGCTTGATGTTCTGATTGTTCCTTCCAACTTTTCCAGCCTGGGAATGGCTAGGTAAAGAAACTTTTTAGTATCCAATCTCCTGTATTTTGTTAGACTCCTTCTTACCAGCTAGTTAACATCATCAAGTTGCTGTCAATATAAAGCTGCTGAGCTATTTTTCTTAAACCGAACTTAAAACTCATGTTCTGACTTCATGCGAGTAGGTTGGTTTCCCTCCTTTTTAATGTTTTTAATGTTAGTTTTAACAGGGCATAGGGAAAGGAAATATAAGCTTATTAGAAATATGGGTGTGAATTTTTACATTTGTCAAACTCAAGGTCTTCAGTTGGTTCTGTTGATCTAAATACTTGATATCTTGTTTTCTTTTGGTATTGATTTTAGCCTTCTGTTTTGACAGAGTAGTAGTATGTTAAAATCCCAGTCTAGAGTTTCTTCATAACCATTCCCAATGTATAGGTCTCTAGTTAAACACTTATCTTCAGAAGCTAAAGGCAAGTAGTAAGGATTATATTATCAAGTTTTCATGGAATTGTGAAGGCTCTCAAGCCCGTCCAGGTAACTCTGAATGGCATCTGCTCCCTCCAGCAATTTGACTGTACCACTCAGATTGGTGTCATCACCAAACTGGCTGTGTGCATTTGATCCCACTGTCTGTGTCTGTTAAAAATATACTGAACAGTGCCAGTCCCATTACTGACCCCTGAGGATACCACTCATCACTGTTCTCCACTTGAACAATGAGTCATTCACTGCAACCCTTTTGAGTGTAACCATCCAACCAATTCCTTATCCACTGAGTGGTCGTTCCATAAAATCCATGTCTCTCCATTTTAGAGTCAAAGGTGTTGTGCAGGACTGTGTCCAATGCTTTTAATTCAAGTAGATTACATCAGTTTCTTTTCCCTTGTCCACCACTGTTGTAACCATATCCTAGAAAGCCACCAAACTTCTCAGGCATGATTTGTCAGTAGTGCAGCCATGTTGGCTGTCACCAATCACCTCTTTATCTTTGATGTGTCTTGGCATAGTTTCCAGAAGGGTCTGCTCCATGCTTTTGCTGGACCTTGAGTAGAGACTGGCTGATCTGTAGTTCCCCAGGTCATCCTTCTGTACCTTTCTAAAAATGGGGGTTGTGTTTCCTTGTTTCCAGTCACTGGGAACTTCACTGATGCCAATAAGATCACGGCCTCACAGGCCATGTTTATTCCCCATGCTGCATGTATTAGCATGGAGACTTCTAAGCTGCGCCCTTGAGGAAACTGACTTACTGGCTGAAATTCTTTTGTGGTGCTCTTCAGGTCCCCTTGTGCTGACCTGTGACCTCTCTCCAGGCTCTGGGCATCATAAGAGTGGGGTGGATTGAAGTTCCCCTTCCCCAGCAACTTTAATTTAAAGTTGTCTTCACCAACCTGGCAAACCTAGGACTGAAGATGCTCCTACTCTTCTCTGACTGATGGACCCCATCAGCAGGCCAGGTTTTGCAAAGCGGGTCTCATGGTCTGAGTCACCAAATTCCTGGTGACTTTCACCGGACCTACAACCTTTAGCTGATTTGACTGGCCCTTTCAAGCTGTAGACTTTTTTGCCTACAGCTTTCCTCGTGCAATCCTCTTTTGGGTTAAAAGTAGAAAATTATGTTGCCACATTAACAATATTGTATGGTTTTTAGTAGAAGTTTACTTGCTTTTTAAATTTCATTTTTATCTAGAAAATGTAAAACTTCAGCATGCAGTCGCCCTCCTCTGTCATATAAGACTCATTGCTTTCTAGATACCTTTTGCTGTTTACTGAGTTTTCAATGAGTTCTTCACTCAATGAGGGCAACAAGTTGGTTTGTGCACCTACCACAGATTCTCCAGTTCTTTGCCTGGTGGCTTGAAGTGAGGTGTGGTACTGTGTGCCATATTCTTGAAGCCAAATGGAATTTGCTGCTGCTCAGCAGTCTTTTGTGACTTCAAAGGCATGGTACTAAAGGGTTGGCACAGGGCCGTGCTATAATTGGGAAAGAATCCAGCCATTTGACTTAGCTGTGAGATAAGAGCAGGGATCTGTGGAATCGTGAAAGGCAAGACACACAAATAGTTCAAAATGAGAGAGAAAGCAGATAGTGATGTCTGGGCCAAAATTACAGCACACAGTAGGAGAAATCTTCATGATTTAATCATTGTTATGCTATTGCTCTATGGGAAATTTTCAGTGCCTTCCCTGCCTGTACCTTTCCCAGAATTTATAGGAAAAAGATACCTGCAGGGAATTCTGTTGCACTACCATCTGTCATTATCTGAGTCCAGACTGCATGTTCAGAACACTATAGTTTTTTCTTTGTGAAGGAGATGAGAAAAACCTGTGCTTCTATTACCCTATGCTTCATCTAACTGCTGTCAGTTCCAAGCAATCTACATCATTAAAAATAAGGATGAAGGAAGGGGTTTGCATACTTCCTGATGTCTGTTATTTAACAGTGCATCAAACCAAACACTTTCCAATTTTTCAAAATTTAACTAATTTAAGGTGTTTAAATGTCAAGTTGTATTTGGGCAGGAGATTATTAAGTGACTCATGATAGCTCATCTGTTCTTGTTGCATGTGATTTTTCCAATAGAAGCTTCTGTGTATATAGCAAGCTACTTAAATGGTTAATTCGTATGCATGCAACGATAATTGCCTAAATTGCTTAAGCTAACAATAAACTGTGTGCAAATCCATGTCAAAACCCACACAAAGAAAAAAAAAGTTAGCAATTACCTTGGGTTAAAAAGGTTGCTGTAGTATTTACTTTTTCTCTTCTAGCCTATCTGTAGCAGTACAAACATAATACAGCATGCCAGCACATAGAAGCTGTTGTTATGAGAACTCTAATTGGGCTCCTGTCTACCAGGGAAGGAAACAGACATGAAATTTAGTCATTATCTGAAGTATTAGGGCTTTACAGCATTTGGTACTTTTCTTTGTTCCTCCATTAATTATACTTACTGTGCTTTTCACATTTCAAAATGCCTCTTCTTTTTTAGGAGTGATGTTTCCCCAACACATTAGATTGGTATGAAATTATGATAGTTCTTGCACAGAATTATCTAATTAGGTGTTTTGAGCTGTCTATTTCAGTGGCAGCTACTGTGGGTCAGCTGCAATTTCTCTTGAAGTCTGACAGATGCATTATGAGCAATACCGTAGTTGAAAGCATATTCATTGCACTTTTGTTTTCTGTTCATATTTCCCTGTGGTTTTTTAATTTGCTATCTACTTCCTCTAGGGAAATATGTAATAATTGCAATAATTTCCTCTTGCTTCCTATAGATCTTTGAAGCTGGAGGGTTTAGTTTTGCACACTTTAGTTTTACACTGTTTTAATTTAAGTGATTATGTATATTTTCTCCTAAATTCATTCTAGTAAAAGAATGATGTGGCCTACTCGTCTTTTTTGGTGATATTATGTTGAACTGTACAGAAATTAAAGTCATTAAGCATTGTGGGCCAAATTTAAGTGGCTTAAAAGCCTGCGGCTCAATGCTTTCTCTAGAATGTTGAGAATCTCATGAACATATTACAGCAGTTAGTAAAATCTAATTTTAAGTTCTTTCACTAGCAGAAGAGAGTGAATTGGAGTAAAAGGAATAGTGAAGTGTGTCAGACTACAAGGCCCTAGAGATTCTAATTAAGTTGTTCATGGAAGAGATCCCTGACCATGCACTGCATTGAAGGGTGCATATCATTCATGCAGTCAGAGAACTAAGAGGTTAAAATCAGGAGATTAAAAGTGGCACTGTGTTTTGATGCTGTTGATGCTATGGTACTTCCTGAGGAGTTGTCGACCCCATTGGCATTTAAATATCAGAGGCATTTCACAGTTGCAGATGCTCTTATATGAGCCAGTTAACTCACGTGCTGAATGAAAGATTTCAGATGAAAAGTAGGGTCTGTGTATTCGCTGGTTGTTTGGGCTTTTCAAATCAGTTCACTCCCAATCCAGTTTTGTTGATCCTATTTGAAATCCTAGTGTTTAGGCCTCTCTTCTCACAACTCAATTTCCTTTATTTTTTTCAGAACCTGAAGAGACTCTGAATTCCTTGTTCTTTTTCATTCCCTGTGGAAAAACATTCTTTCAAATACAGAAACTCTAACTTTTGGTGCCACCTGAGCCTGCACTTGCAATTTTGACTTTTCGTGCAGTGTTTAACTACTTTAGTTTTTTCACAGTCACACCAATCCCTTGTGTTTTTGTGGTGTTAGAAACTGCTTAGCAGCTTTCTAGTTCTTCAGAGCAAATGTGCTGATGTTTATTTTACTTTCCTGAGAACTGTAAGCCTTTGCATTCAGTTGAAATTCTCTTTTGTTTCCAGCACACATTGTTTGAATAACATAAGATTGCTGCTTTTTCTGTTTGAATTAAGGTATTAATGTACTAGTTTGTACTAAGTGCTAGCACAAGGAAATGTTCTTATCCTAGTACTGTGTATAAATAATCTTTTTAGGTGCATCACTTGATGCTGGGATGTAGAAGAATATGGTGAGGAAAGTGTCCTTTGGTATATACCACGCTCCTAGTTTTTCCTGAAACTCTTATATTAATAGTGACAGTGAGATAGATGGACATCTAGTCTAACCTAGTTCATCTGTACTTACAGACAATTTTTCCCAGCAAAGCTATATGGAACCAAAGAACTTCTGAGCGAGATTCTGACATTTTCAAAACAGGATCTTAGTGTTAGGTTATTTGAATTCTATTTAGGCTCTAAAATTAATGGCCTTATTTTCAATTATGCTGGACACCCTTGAAGCCCAAATGGTGTTTGAAGATGAGGATGCTTAGAATATTTATAAATCAGATTTGCTAATATAGCTGACTAAATATGGATTTAACAACCCAGCTTTCAATTCCTGTTCATAAAGATCTTACTCACTCCTCTCCTGTCATGTTAAAAAATTGTCTTTGGTACATACACCTTTCTTCTTTGAAGAAAGAATATCTGTTCTTCAAAAAATGTTGTATCAGCAGAACTCTTGAGTCTTTCCAGTCTATGTCACCAAGGTTGTTAACTTCTTAAATTGAA